ATCTGAGTGAAAAAATCCGGTACTACCCCGGGGAAAAACGTCCGAAGCCCCCCTCAATACAACACGGATAATTCAACATAGGAGACCACAGTATATTATGAACGAGTAATCATTCATTGAGCGCAACACATTTGAAAAAAGTAGTCTGAGTGAAAAAATCCGGTACTACCCCGGGGAAAAACGTCCGAAGCCCCCCTCAACACAACCACACGGATAATCCAACACAAGAGACCACAGTAGATCATGAACGAGTCATCATTAATCGCTGAGCCCTCTTATCAGCTCTGACCAGTTGGACTAGTATATTGCACAAGTCCACGAATAGATCTCTCCAGACTATTTCATCGACTTCTACGTCATTTAGAGTAAAACGGGTGAAACTCCATTGAAAAGATATATAAAGTGGATTATAATACCACAAAAAATAATAATTAAAAATAATAATTAATTATAATAAAAATTATAATACCACGGAAAAGAATACACCATCGCAGTTGATAGGTAATTATCAAAGTCTCCTACACCGATTAAGTATTATTATTTTTATTACACTATCACTAACATTTTTCCTCTGCGTTTCCGCATCGTCACTTCTCCTGCTCCTTTCAGCATTCAAGACTTCCTAAGCGAACACTCCCTACGACGAACTCGCGATAGCAGACCCACCTCCAGGCGCTGGACATTTTTCGACACTTTTTCCAATTCCACCTCCCGAGACAACGCCAACTCCTCAGCGGCCGCTCGCCTGATCAAAAACTCCTCAACATGCGGCAATACCCTTGTCGTCGTAGAAAACAAAATCACTACACATTGCGCATTTCCAATTCACGATTAAATACTGTCATACCGCTCCTCAGCCAATTCCGCCTTCTTCAACAGCCTCTCCATCTCTAGGTCCTTCCACTTCGTCTGCGATTGACCCCTGATAGACTCCTGCTCCCCAGGACTCTCCTCCGCACCTTTCCTTATGGACGAGTCTAGTGTCTTGAGATTGTCTTCAACACATTTCTTATCATCACAAGCATCATAATTCTCCCCTATAGTGTTCTCCTCCTCCTCTGGCAGTATCTCATCCTTCTCGAGGATACCTTCACCCATTATCTCCGCGGACCTCTCATAGCGCGCATTCCCAGAGTCTATGAGCTCTGAGGCCATCAGCATCCGCACTGCTGGTTCCTTATCCACCGGCCCAGCCTCCAGTGCGATAACAAGGTCTTCATCATCATCACCCAGAGAGTGATGGCCTTGAGCATTACCGGATACTCCCGAGGACCAAGAGCTGCGATGCTCAGCATAACGCGACGGGATATCCTTTCGAGCTCTCCAGAATCTACGACAGAAATCAAATGAACTACTTTCTCTACCATAACTCACACGTTAAATCGCCCTAGAAAGCTGCCATGATCAACTTCATCGTTGACACTTCCAAAGATATCATTAGCAATCCAGGCCACCAGCCCGGCTGAGGGGTGTGGTAAGGACTCCTGCTCGAACAAGGAGCGGAGGAGGGCAGCAAAACCTCCTCGTACACGTAGACCCCCTGTCACCGGCTTGTTGTCTCTGTGACGGATATAGAACTACCAATAAAAACGAATAGTAAACAATATCATAACACAGCGGAGCGAAGCAGATTCATACACTTAATGCGAAGGAAGAGCGAGCTACTACCAAGTCACATCCTACCGACGAAGCCCTGACCCAAAATGACTTCTCCAACAGCAATAAGACTACAGAGTTACACTGAGCGATCCGATTCTGGAACTCAGAATTCATCCAGGATAACCAACGATAAACTTTGATTTCAAAAACTTGGCCTACCCCAACGACTTCTATCCTCCAACCCATTTTACATCCCACAAATCCTCGATCTCCTCGCGGCTCAGCTCCTCAGGCATCCAAAAGACGACCCATCCTAACGATACAGCTTCGCTCCGCTCAACACAAGCGTTCGAATGATCACAGAAACGCCAATGAGAACATCACCGTTGTTTCTTTTCCTCCTCCGCCACCTCAGCCTTCTTGTGGCTTCCCGCTGCAACCAACGCCTGGAAAAATACATCAATGGTAATATTATCAACTTCGCTCCGCTAGAAGATTTCTATCAGCTACTAGGTGCTCCGAACATGAAATCGATCAATGGGCTTACGACTCCGGTGATGATAAAAGTAGCCCCCATGAGCCAAGCCAGAGACATCCTCTCTCCGAAGAAGACCGCACCGAAAATGGAAGAGAATAGAAAGTTGCCACCAAAGTTCATCACAGTAGCTTGCAAGGCTGTTCCTGCAAGGACGACAGAGATCCCTGGTTCGATCCCGCCACCCTACGTTTTTGCAGAGCTTCAATGTAATAGGACATCATGGACGCGTTAGACGCTAGAGAGAGTACTATAAAAATAGCCCTCAGCAAATACCCTGCCACAGGATGGACCTTTATCGCAGCTTTATACCTGATCAAATAACGACACGCTTCGCTCGAGAAAAAATACGGGAAAAATATTTTTTCGGAAAATTTTCCAATTTTTTCACGAGTTGAAGTCACAAGAAAAGTACAGACACACACTAATTCGCCGAACGTCCTCAAGACGAATACATTCGCTCCGTGAGGACTACTAGCAGTGGAAGGACTATTGTGACAGAGGAGTGGTACGAGGATCTGCCCATAGCCTTACGCTAACGACCCGTTGGTTGTGTCGAAGCCAACTTTGGCAAACACTGATGCTGCTGCAGCGCAAAGGGATGATATGAGGTTAGGGTCAAGCATGTTAAAAGGAGATCGGGACAGATGGTGACGCAAGCACGATCAGAGAACACAATAGACGGCATCGTGTTGTTGAAAAGACTGGACATCGGCAACTCGTGCAAACCGATGGGTGCATTAATGAGAGAGTTGAGGTTACATGCCGACTCTCGCAGATGCCAAAACCCTATATCCCACAACAAGGAAACCGCTGTAGTAGTCCTCATCTAAACTAGCCACGCCTAAGCTCCACAGAGTGTATAATTACTGTGAATATATCTATTGTCGGACGAACGGCAAAAGCCGGTAGGAAAATCATCAAGAATAGATCTTGACAATTTTCTGATTCGCGGCACAAGGCAAGATCTACACATCCATTTACATACCTATCAAAGGGCCACCCAAAACTCGTCCTCCAATTTGCATAGTACTGGTACTAGCAATATATCTATATTATTTTAATAGGTAATATTCATACGATGCTCCATACATAGAACCTAGGCCTAGCCTCCTCCCCCATCGGCTACTGGCACCAACACAAGCAGACGCT